GTTTGGCTTGTTTCACTTAGGATGATACTTTCCAGGTCCCTCCATGTAGTCTCAAAGGATAAGAGATCATTCTTTCTTACCGCTGCATAGTACTCCATTGTGTATATGTACCACTGCTTTTTTATCCATTCGTCTACTGATGGACACTTGGGCTGTTTCCAGATCTTAGCTATTATAAACAGTGCTGCTACAAACATGGGGATACATATATTCTTTCTGATTGGTGTTTCAGGCTTCTTACAGTATATTCCTAGAAGCAGGATCACTGGGTCAAATGGAAGTTCAATTTTTAATTTTTTGAGGTAACATCATATTGTTTTCCATAGTGGCTGCACCAGTCTGCACTCCCACCAGCAGTGTACTAGAGTCCCCTTTTCTCCACACCCTCGCCAACACTTGTTGTTTGATGATTTGTTGATGGCGGCCATTCTGACAGGTGTGAAGTGATACCTCATTGTTGTTTTAATTTGCATCTCTCTGATGATTAGTGATGTTGAATATTTCTTCATATGTCTCTTAGCCATTTGTACGTCCTGTTTGGAGAGGTGTCTATTTAGTTCCTCTGCCCATTTTTTAATTGAGTTCTTTGTCTTCCTTTTGTGGAGTTGTATGAGCACTCTATATATATTGGAAATTAACCCCTTATCTGATAAATCATTGGCAATTATGCTCTCCCATACAGTGCGTGGCCTTTCCGTTTTGATGATTGTATCTTTTGCTGTGCAGAAACTTTTGAGTTTGATGTAGTCCCATGTGTTCACTTTCTCCTTTATTTCTATTGCCTTAGGTGATGTATCAGTGAAAATTCTGCTGTGTATGATGTCTGAAATTTTGTTGCCTACAGTTTCTTCTAGGATTTTTATGGATTCATGAGTCACATTTAAGTCTGTTATCCATTTTGAGTTTATTCTTGTGTAGGGTGTAAGTTGATGGTCTAGTTTCATTTTTTTTGCATGTAGCTGTCCAATTTTTCCAACACCATTTATTAAAGAGGCTGTCCTTACTCCACTGTATGCTCTTGCCACCTTTGTCAGGTTTTAGTATCACTTTTATGTTGCTTTGTAAAAATGAATCAGAAAACTCTCTCTGAACTCAAACTATTTAAATAATTCCCTGTAATTTAAAATAACTCACCCATGACATTCTGGGCCTCCCAGTTTTATGCACGTGGTGACTGTTCCCTGGCAATTTCCCTAGGTTTTGTTGTTACCAGTGCATTTCACTTTCAACAAATTACCAAATGTTTATTGCTACCATTCCAAAATTTAAAAAGAATACTTCAATGTGGTACCTCAAGTAACATATCAAACCCCCACACAGTTCTGTATCATCTCTTAATAGAAATATAAATGAACAAATCAAGTACCATCAAGAGAATTAATGAGAAAATAAACAACTAATAAGACAAATTATCCACTAATAGATACTCTAAAAGAATGTTATTAAATCAGAATTGTAATCCATATACTAAAGAAGAAGCCATGTAAGAATAGTGGGTAGGGTGGAGACGTGGAACAGACTCACACACACATGTAGCAGATAAAAATCAGGAGGCATAGCTCAGATAAAAATCAGGAGGCATAGCTCAGCTTTGGAGTTCTTCCCTGAGGAGTGACAAGTCTCAGCCCCACACCAGGCACCCTAGCCAGGAATCTAGTGCCTGGAAAAGAAGTCACCATAACTTCTGGCCGTAAAAACTAAAAACGATTGTGGCTGGGTGAAACAAGGGGCTTCTGGAGTCCCAGGTAGTTCCTCTTAAAGAACCCAGGCACAGACTGATTTGGACTCACTTGCTCTGAGCTCCAGTGTTGGGGTAGCAGCGTGAAAGGCACTAGAGACATATGGGGAGTAATCGAATTGTCTAGTGTCAGGGCTAAAGCTGGAGAAGGCAGCTTTCTGACAAACAAAAGTGCTGGAAGAGGCCACTGTTCCTCTTCTGAGCCCTTCCTCACACAGATCTGGTAGTGGGTGCCATATCTGGGTCTTCATCAACCTGGCTCACACTGTTCACCCTGCCCTGGTGATTACCTGAGGCCCTGCCCCACCCCAACCTGTGAGCCCAACCAAGCTTTTCCATACAAATGGCATGTCTTGGCTCAAGTAACAGACTTTCCTAAAATCTCTCAGACAAGCAGCATCTGGCCTCAGCATGCCCTGAACCTCATGATAAGAGTCCCCAGGCCCAGCATTAGCAGCAGCCAGCCTTGGTTCACAGTTTGGCCTTGCCTGGGCACCTCTAAGCCCAGCACAAGTAGCAGCCATCTGCAAATCACTTTGTAGCTCATGCCCAGTGGCTCTGGGCAGAACACAGGTGCAAATGACCTTGGCCTGCACCTCCAAGAAAGCCCCAGAGCCAGCACACCTGGTAGACACCTTCAGACCATGTTGAAGCACCACCCAACCACCTCTAGAAGCAACACACTCAAGGGGCTAAATCAGGGCTCCACTGAATTAAGTCCTGCACTATGGGACAGGCTCAGGGACAGCTAATCCTTCATGGTGGTTGTACCCAGTCCTTGCAGCCGGCTGCCCTAGGGGGTAAATCCTTCCCACTGACATGCTAATAGAAATCAAGGCTCAATTACAATAGGAGGGTATATACAACCCACACAAGAGATGTACCTCGAGTACCCAGCTTGGGTGATCAGGGACGCTGTGCCACAGAACCCTAAAGAACACCAACTACATAAGGCCACTCTACCAAGCCCAGAAGATGTAGCAGCTCTCCCCAGTTCATAGATACAAACACAGGAAGGCTGCCAAAATGAGGAGAAAAAGAAACATGTCCCAAATGGAAGAACAGAACAAAACTCCAGAAAAAGAACTAAACAAAATGAAGACAAGCAATCTGGTAGATGCAGAGTTCAAAACACTGGTAATAAAGATGTTCAGTAATTTAGTGAGATGAGGCTGAGAATCAAATCAGTGATTTGAAAGATAAAGAACCAAAAAACTCCTAATCAGAACAGAAAAAAAGAAAAAATAATCCCCCCCCAAAATGAAGTCAGTGTAAGGAGTCTCTGCGACAACTTCAATCGTACCAACATTTGCATCATGGGGGTGCTGGTAGGAGAAGAAAGAGAGCAAGATATTGAAAACCTATTAGAAAAAATAATGACAGCCCTGGCCAGTTTTGCTCAGCGGTTAGAGCGTCGGCCTGCGGTCCGGAGAGATCCGGGTTCGGTTCCCACTAAGGGCACGTACCTCCGTTGCAGTTTGTCCCCGGCCCTGGTTGGTCGTGCGGGTGGCAGCCACTCGATGTCCCTTCACGTCGATGTTTCTCTCTCTCTCTCTCCCTTCCTCTCTCTCCCTCCCACTCTATCTGTACAAAAAAATTGAAAAATATCCTCGGGTGAGGATAAAAAAAAAAGAAAAAATAATGACAAAAAACCTCCTTAAACTGATGATGGAAATAGATATACAAGTTCAGGAAATGCAGAAAGTCCCAAAGAAGATGAACACAAAGAGGCCCACACTAAAACATATCATAATTAAAATGCAAAAGGTTAAAGACAAACAGAGAATCTTAAAAGCAGCAAGAGAAAAGCAGTTACCCACAAGGGAGATCCCATAAGACACCAGCTAATTTCTCAAAGAAACCTTAAGGCCAGAAGGGACTGGCAAGAAATATTTAAAGTGATGAAAAGCAAAGCCCTAAAAACCAAGATTACTCTACCCAGCAAAACTAACATTTAGAATCAAAGGGCAGATAAAGAGTTTCCCAGACAAGAAAAAGGTAAAAGAATTCATCACCACCAAACCAGTATTATATGAAATGTTAAAGGATCATCTTTAGGAAGAAAAAGATTAAAAATGTGAACAACAAAATGGCAATAAATATATATCTATCAGTGATTGAATCTAAAAAACAAAATAAACCAACAAGCAAAACAGAAACAGACTCAAAGATACAAAGAACATTTTGATAGTCGCCAGATGAGGATGGAGGTTTGGAAGGATGAATGAAAAAGGTGAAGAGATTCAAAAATACAAAACTGAACCCTGGCCAGTGTGGCTCAGTTGGTTAGAACATCAGTCAGTACACCAAAAGGTGGTGGGGTTCAATTTCTGGTCAGGTTACCAGGTTGCAGGCTCAATCCCAGGTCAGGGGTGGGAGGCAACCAATCTGTTTTTCTCTCAGATCAGTGTTTGTCTTTCTCTTTCTCTTTCTCTCTCTAAAAATCATTTTTAAAACTATCTTTAAGCCCTGGCCAGTTGCTAAGTGGTTAGAGCATTGGCCAGCAGACCAAAGGGTCATGGGTTCAATTCTGGTCAAGGGCACATACCTGGATTGCAGGTTCAAACCCTGGCCCCAGTAGGGGCGCATGCTGGAGGCAACCAATCGATGTCTCTCACACTGATGTTTCTCTCTCCCCCACCCACCCCTTCCACTCTCTCTTTAAAATATTATATATATAATCAGTGGAAAAAATATCCTGGGGTGAGGATTAACAACAAAATAGTACAAATGGGTTGTTATAGAACAGTCATGGTCATGTAAAGTACAGTATAAGGAATATGGTAAATAATATTCTAACTATGTATGGCGTCAGATAGGTACTAGATTTATTGGAATGATCACTTAGTAAGTTATATAGTTCTGTCTAATCACTGGGTGTACACCTGAAACTAATATAATGTTGTATGTCAACTGTAATTGAAAAATAAAAAATAATTTAAATAAAGAAAAAAAAAGTGAAAAGACAACCCACAGAATTGGAGAAAATATCTATAAATAATATAGCTGACAAGAGATATATATTCAGAATAGAAGATTTAAAATGGGGAAATAAGTAAATAAATAAATATATAAATAAAAATGGGCCAAAGATTTTAACAGATATTTGTCCAAGGTCATGAAAAGATGCTCAACATCATTACTCATTAGGGAAATCAAAACCATGATGAGATACCACTTCACACACACTAGGATAGCTAAAATAAAAAACACAGGCAACAACAAATATTGGTGAGGATGAGAGAAATTGGAAACCTCATACCTTGCTGGTGGAACTGTAAAATGGCTGCTTTGAAAAATAGCCTGGCAGTTCTTTAAAAGGTTGAACATAGAATTACCAGGTAACCCAGCAATTCTACTCCTAGGTATATAATAAGAGAATCAAAATTATGTCCATATAAAAACTTGTATATAAATATTTATAACAATGGGGGTGTGGGGCAGGAAGAGATAAACCAAAGAACTTACATGCATATATGCATAACCAATGGACACAGACAACAGTGCAGGGGAGAAGGGAGGAGGGTGTCAATGGGGGGGAAAAGGAGAGACATCTATAATACTTTCAACAATAAAAATAAATTAAGAAAAATATTTAGAGCAGTATTTTTCATAATAATCTGGAGGAGGAAACCACCCAAATGTCCACCAATGGATAAATAGATAAACAAAATGTGGTGCATCCATGCAATAATATATTATTTAGTCATAAAAGGAAATGGAAGTACTGGAACATGCCACAGTATAGATGATCCTTCAAAACATCACACATAATGCCATATAGGACACATAATGGCATACAGGACATAATCCAATTATGTGGAGTGTCCAGAATAGGCAATCCATAAAGACAGAATAGTAGTTACAATGACTCAGGAGAGTAGGGAAGCTGCAAGTGAGTATAGGGTTTCCTTTTGGGAGCAATGAAAATGTTTTAAAACGAGATAGTGGTGATTACTGCATAATCCTGTGAATATTCTAAAAACCACTGAATGAGTCCTGGCTGGTCTTGCTCAGTGGTTAGAGCACTGGCCTGAACACTGAAGGGTTGCAGGTTTGATTCCTGATCAAGGGCACCTTCCTGGGTTGCAGGTTTGATCCCTGGCCCCAGTTAGTGCAAGGTGCAAGAGGTAGCCAATCGATGTATCTCTCTCATATGTCTCTCTCTTTCTCTCTCTCTCCGTCCCTCCCTCCCTTCTACTCTAAAAAAAAAAAGCAATGGAAAAAATATCCTTGGGTGAAGATTAACAAAAAATAAACAAAACAAAATAAAAACCATTCAGTAGTACATTTTAAAAGAGTAAATTTTTTTTTTTTTTATCCTCACCCAAGGACATTTTTCCATTTTTTGTTCAGATAGAGCGGGAGGGAGAGAGAGGAAGAGAGAGAGAGAAACATCGATGTGAAGGGACACATCGAGTGGCTGCCACCCGCACGACCAACCAGGGCTGGGGACAAACTGCAACCGAGGTACGTGCCCTTAGCGGGAACCGAACCCGGGTCTCTCTGTACCGCAGGCCGACGCTCCAACCGCTGAGCCAAACCGGCCAGGGCTAAAAGAGTAAATTTTTAAAAATATGTTTATTGATATTTTTTAGGGGGAGAGATAGAAACATCGCTGTGAGAGAGAAACATGGATCAGTTTCCTCCTGCATGACCCCTGCTAGGGATGGAGCCTGGAACCCAGGCATGTGCCCTGACCGGGAACTGAACCAGAGCCTCAGTCCAGGGGACGACACTCAATCCACTGAGCCACATGGGCTAGGCTAAAAGAGTAAATTTAATAGTATGTGAATTATATGTCAATAAAGCTATTATTTTTAAAATGGGGGGGGCAGGAATGGGGAGAATACTATATCACAGGGTGATTTGTGAGAATCAAGGATATGTGGAGAAGACTCTGTAAATTATAAAGGGCTCTACATAATGTTAGGCAGTGTTATTTTCATCCTCTACTCGAGACTAAAGCAGGTAGCATTTTCCTGGCACACAGGTTAACATCTAAAGCAGCATCAGGTCACAAAATTTATGTGCTTCTATCAGTCCCCTCATTTCTCAATGGCTCTCTGTCTTCAATATGCTAGGTATTTATGGATTATGTAACTTCTATAAATGTCATGATGCAAATAAACATGTTACAGCAGTGGCTTATAATGTATAAGGGAAAAAAGATTCAAATCTCTGATAATTAACATAGTCAAAGTACTTCCTTAATCTGATAGCTATATAAAGTGTCCTACTCAAGTCTTTTCTCTTTGAATTCTTTAATATAATACACAATAAAATGGAATAAAATAAAAATAAAATGGTATTCCTAACATGGTGGTGGTGGTGGTGATGACGATGATGAAGATGATGAAAGTAGCTACTATGTTTAGTACTATGTTTAGTATGTTTAGTATGTTTATCCCAGTTAATCACCACCACATTATGCTGTTTTGTTGACACTGGTCTACCAGCTAGGAAGAGGCAGAGAAGAAATCTGTACCCAGGCAATCTGACTCCTGAATCCACAATAGACTACAAGTACAGAACCTACAGATAATAGTCATCATAAAAGTTTCATCTTAGTTAAAAGCTTGGGTTTAAATATGTATGTTTGAAAACTATATTAGAGCTACAGCTGAAAAAGTTTATTTTATTTCTGTTGGCTCCAGTAGAGATGAGTGTTTTTTAAGAAGCCTAGTTTCTCTCTTGCACAGCATCATGAACAATAGAAAAGTCTCAGTGAAATGATCTTTTCTCCAGACTTCACCAAGATTAATGTCTGTAACTGTTAATCCCTGAGAAATTGATTTAGCTAAATCTAATCCTAGCTTAGGCCTTTCATGACAACTGGACTTCTTTAGTCTTAGCCCAGATTTTTCTTTTTTCAGCTAGGATAAATTACAACTTGGCGATGAATCTCAAAAAATAGAATATTCACTAAAAACAACTTTAGTTTTGTTATCAGAGTGCTTACTTTAAAAGTTCAATATATTGGTGGGTTACATGTTTGTGTCTGGCTAAGTGTGAACAGAATCAGTCACAAGATATAAAAAAAAAAAAAGGTAGATTTTTGGGAGGTGTAGTCAATTTTAACCAGGTTTAAATGTTTACTTACAAACTAATAACAAAGCAGTCACTACCAGATTGATAAATGTTTCTAAACATGCAGATTCTATATAAAAATATTTTAGTAAAATCATAATTAAAGAATAACTCCTACTTCTAAAAGATAAACTTTTTTTTTTATCCTCACCCGAGGACATTTTTCCATTTTTTGTACAGATAGAGTGGGAGGGAGAGAGAGGAAGAAATAGAGAGAAACATCGATGTGAAAGGGACACATCGAGTGGCTGCCACCGCACGACCGAAGTACGCGCCCTTAGCGGGAACCGAACCCGGGTCTCTCCGGACCACAGGCCGACGCTCTAACCGCTGAGCCAAACCGGCCAGGGCTAAAAGATAAACTTTGATAAGAATCTTACATGATATGTATAGATCAGATCATTGAATAAAATGAGGCACAGCTTTCCTAAATATAGGCAGTTTAGTTACAACAAAGTCTTTTCCAGAATGGAAAAGTCATACTAGCCAGCTGATTACAGGCAATGACAGTAATTAGAGTCATTAACAAAAAAAATCACCCAGCTGGTGTGGCTCAGTGGTTGAGTATCAACCCAAGCACCAAGAGGTCGCCAGTTCAATTCCTGGTCAGGGCACATGCCCAGGTTGTGGGCCAAATCCCCAGTGGGGAGCATGCAGGAGGTGGCCAATCGATGTTCTCTCTCATCGATGTTTCTATCTCTCTGTACCTCTCCCTTCCTCTCTCTCTAAAAATCAATAAAGAAAAAAAAATTTTTAAAAATTAAAAATCTATCAACTCCAAGTCAAGGGATGTCAAAACAAACAACATGTTATAATGTTAAAGGAGAGTGCTGCCCCACAGAATGAATCTGCCAGATTTTAAAATCCTGAGTGACAAGTTTATTGGCATAGTCTAGAACTAAAACAGTCATTCTCAAATATTGGGGGGGAAAAAAAACATTAGGGAAAAAAAGCCAAGTGATTTCATCCAATTAGTACCCAAGTCATAAAATTTGCTTTACTACCTCAAGTACCCAAAACAATTGAGTAATATGAAATGGAACACAAAACACTTCTTATGCATTTTTTTATTTAACTTGTTCTTAATACAGTGACTCCCATATTTATTGACTACTTCCTTTGTACTAGGCTCTTGCTAATGATTTACAAAACCATTTAATGCTCATAACTTAAGGACGTAATTCTTTTATTTTTGGTGGAGGAAATCAAACCTTAGTGAAATTTAAAATCTTGTCTGAATTCACAAAGCTAGTAAGTGGTGGGGCCTGGTTCCCAAACTTACATTCTTGATACCACATCACACAGATGCATAATTAACAAGAAATATAAATGTTCAGAATTCAATATTGTGTTGAAGTTTAGGCAGTTAATCTGGATGCACTCAAATCAGTAACTTAAAAAAAAATCTCCCACGTTAATCTTTTTTTTGTATTTTTATTTTTTTATCCTCACCCGAGGACACTCCCCCATCCTTTATTCAGATAGAGTGGGAGGGAGAGAGAGAGAGAAACATCGACATGAAAGAGACACATGGAGTGGCTGCCACCCACACGACCCAACCAGGGCCAGGGACAAACTGCAACCAAGATACGCGCCCCTAGTGGGAACCGAACCCAGGTCTCTCTGGACCACAGGCCAACGCTCCAACCGCTGAGCCAAACCGGCCAGGGCTCCCACATTAATCTTTAATGCAAAATTATTTCTGAATGTGCTTGTATGTTGGGGCAAGGAAGGGTGAGTGGGTTACCAGTTACCTGAGCTTCCTAGTAGCTGCTTTCCTAAACATAAATGAAAATTTTTCCTAAACGTTCTTGTTTAGTTTTATTGTCCATACCAGGAAATAAAGTGTAGTGGGAGAAGTACACAAGTTATACAAAACCATAAAATACAATAAATCTTTAAATTGCCACCTAAAATATCACCTTTTAGGAAAGAAAAATTCTCCTTCCCTAAACTCCAATCCCCACAACTCCCAGGCTACTTCCCTGGGCCTGCCTCATACCTTTGGTGCTCAGGGCCACATTAGGTGGGAACAGAGGAAATACACTAAGTTCACAAATGTATTGCCAGTCACTACATTATAATATAATTCTTCTTTAAAAAAAAAAAACAGAATTGCTCTAATATTAAGAATTTTGGCTACTGTGTTAGAAAAAAATCCTGCCTGTATGCTAACTTATTTAATATTAGGCATATTAGATTTATGAGCATTATTGAGGACATCACTTGTTAAATTCACACTCTAGCAAACCATTAACAAATCAGTTTTCTTTTTACTTCACTAAATCAAAGGACATTATTTCATCAATATTCTCTAAACAGTGTTGAAGGTGACCTTGGCTTTAAAAAGTGTCAATAACACAGTGATACTACCTGTTTATACAATGGTTTATACTTTATGCGTTACATGTTAAATGAAATGGAAAGGAGGCAAAATTGTCAAGATCACATAGCAAAACTGAGATGCATCATATATGTACTAATTTCCTATTTCCCCAGCAAGGCTGCTCTAGGTGATTGAGTACCTTCTGGAGACAGAATAGAGCTTGAATTGACCAACACAAACCTCATTAAAAAAATAGCATTTGGGGGAAAGATGTACAGAATGGATAAATACAAATACAGATGTACAGAATGGATAAATACAAATACAAATATTGATTTCCTTCTCTTCTGCAAGGTGAGAATTAAGAGTACCTACTTCATGAGACTATTGTAAGAATTACAACACTCTAACCACTGAGCCATGCTGGCCAGAGCTTCAGTGACAATTTTTAAAAATTATTTTGAGGCGGTTTTCACTAAAAACATACTCCATGAATATTTGTTTCTGGTCTCAGAACTCTAGTAATATGGTCATATTGCCAATGCACTAAGTGAAAATAGGGACAAATAGCTCTTAGAAAAATATATACTGTAATCAAGAAAGTTGTGAGATGGGCCCTGGCCGGTTTGGCTCAGCGGTTAGAGCGTCAGCCTGAGGACCAGAGAGTCCCGGGTTCAGTTCCTGCTAGGGGCGCATACCTCAGTTGCAGTTTGTCCCCTGCTCCGGTTGGGGTCGTGTGGGTGGCAACCACTTGATATGTCTCTCTCACATCGATGTTTCGTTCTCTCTCTCTCCCTCCTGCTCTATCTGAAGATGAATGCAAAAGTGTCCTTGGGTGAGGATAAAAAACAAACAAAAAAAACAGTTGTGAGATGGGATATCATCTCTCATCATTCGAAGTTCTTCTGATATGATAAGAACCGTAACTGAGCACATATATAGCCCACATCATTTTACCAACAGGAGTAAGAGGAAGAAGAAAAATCTTCACGAGGACTCAATCAATAAATTTATTATAAATGATGTTTAATGTTTTGGGAGATATTAAAGGGGGAGGAGGCACTCCCTTTCCTCAAGTAGTTTAGCACCTATCTGGGGAAATTAGTAATGTGTATATATATATAAAAATTTAACATGGCAAATGTGTTACACTGACAATAAGCAACATATGAACAAGGATGATTTTAGGATAAATTCCCAAGCAGGTTTAGCCTTAAGATCTTGAAGATGATTAGAACTTAAAACAGGTGACTGGTATGAATGTGGGAGATCAAACAATAGGGAAACAGTCAAGTATTTGGAAAAATTATACTGTAGGCTGGCAAAGTTAATGTAGTACAAAGAAGAAAAGAGTGGCCCTGACCAGGCAACTCATTTGGGTGGAGTGTCGTCCTATACACCAAAAGGCTATGGGTTTGAATCTCAGAGCAAATACCTAGGTTGTGGGTTCGATCCCTGGTCAAGGGTTCAATCCCCAGTTGGGGTGCTGAATGAGAAGCAACCAATTGATGTTTCTCTCTCACACTTTGATTATGTCTCTCTCTCTCTCTCTCCTCCCTCTCTTTCTAAAATCAATAAACATATCGTCAGCTGAGGATTTTTTTTTTTAAAAAAAGCATGACATAGTCACACTATGAAAAGCTTCTAAGTTATTATGAAAAGCATAAGTTAAGGTGTCTAGATTGATTGTATAGTCAAGAGAAATCCATCAAAAGTTTGGTACATATTCCCATTCTAGAACACTTCTACAGTCAAGAGAAATCCATCAAAAGTTTGGTACATATTCCCATTCTAGAACACTTCTTTACTTGCCATATAAACTGGATCTTCCTTCAAGATTTAGTTCAAATTTAACTTACAGGGTGAAGCTTTCTCTCAGTTGCAATGCAATCAAAGGCTCCATTTTCTGTATCCGCAGCACTCTGGGCTTACCTCTGTCACAATGAGTAGTGGTTCCCAAACAGTACATGAGAATTACTGGGCAGCTTGTTAAAAAACAACAAGGCACTGTTTACCATTTAGCCTCTAGGAATCAGCGGTCTGAGCAAGCCAATATACATCTTAAGAAGGAATGTCATAAGACCGCCTTCTTATATTGTGATGAGATTCTATAAAAATATTTGTTTCACTTTCCCAAGCATGTCATCAAGCTTCTCACTAGTGAGCTAAGTCTGTTAAGCATAAATAACTATGATTTGCTAAGGTCTATTTTTAGAACCAATAACTGAAAAACATGATATATAAAAATTATAAATGATATAATGATATATCAAAGTTATAAGAAGCATTAAACAACCAGCTTCTTTTTATCAAATTAAATTCTGGAATATTTGAGCAATAGTCAAGTTTCCTTCTCTCCAGAAACTTGTCTCCACAGTCTTCAGCTTTCTTCTTATTCTCATACATTCACCAGGCAAACATGCTTGTTTAATAAGATCAAACTGAGGCACCTTCAAGTAAAAGTTTACTGCAATCCAATAGTGACGGTGTTACTCTCCTACAAAAGTACCTCCTGTTCTCAGCTACAAATATTCCAAGTTTCAAATAGACAGCAAAAACAGATTTTAAGTGGCATATTAGCACCAATAATGTTGATATTTCCTTTTCAAACACCCACCCCCAATTCCTGCCCAAAGGAGTTTCCCAAGCAATTTTGAAAAGAGTATTAATTGATACAAAGGAAAATTATCAAGATGGTGGCAACCAGACATTAATGGTGTCAGTTTCTTTAGACAACTACCATTATAACCACAGACCATAATTGAAAACAGGCAATATATTCTAATCTGGTACCTTCAAACAGTGATTTTATAAAGAACCAACCAATCAAACCAGCATAGGACTATAAAAAAGACTAAATCAGCCCTGGCCGGTTTGGTTCAGCGGTTAGGGTGTTGGCATGCAGACTCGAGAGACCCAGGTTCGGTTCCCGCTAAGGGCATGTACCTCAGTTGCAGTTTGTCCCCAGCCCTGGTTGGGTTGTGTGGGTGGTAGCCACTCGATGTGTCCCTTTCACATCGATGTTTCTCTCTCTCTTCCTCTCTTTCCCTTCCATTCTATCTGAACAAAAAAAAGGAAAAATGTCCTCGGGTGAGGATAAAAAAAAAAAGACTAAATCATTTTATTATTTTTTTATTTTATTTTATTTTATTTTATCCTCACCCGAGGACATTTTTCCATTTTTTTGTACAGATAGAGTGGGAGGGAGAGAGAGGAAGAGATAGAGAGAGAGAAACATCGATGTGAAAGGGACACATCGAGTGGCTGCCACCGCACGACCAACCAGGGCCGGGGACAAACTGCAACCGAAGTACGTGCCCCTAGCAGGAACCGAACCCGGGTCTCTCCAGACCACAGGCCGACGCTCTAACTACTGAGCCAAACTGGCCAGGGCAAGACTAAATCATTTTAAAAGACAGAAATACTTTTAAACTTTGAAGAGTTAAAATCCCAACAGTTTTTATGTAACTTAACAAGCTAATTCTAAAATTCATTCAAAAGTCTACCCTCCAATTTTTTTGGGGGGGATATCTCATCAGTTGTCAAATCTATAAAGTGATACTTATGAAAGCAATGTGATATTGGCACAATACAAAAAGAGTTAAATGAAATAAATCATTGCATATGTAATTGGTACATATGTAATTTAGTATGGTAATTTAGTATATAACAAAAGTGGTAGTCTTAGTGTGAAAAATCACAGAACATTCATTAAAATGGTGGCCAGTTTGGCTCAGAGGTTAAGCATTGGCGAGCAGACTGGAGAGTTCTGGGTTCAGTTCCCACTAGGGGAATGTACTTTGGTTGCAGTTTGTCCCCAGCCCCAGTTGGTGTTGTGTGGGTGCTAATCAGTCGATGTGTCTCTCTCACATCGATGTTTCTCTCTCTCTCTCTTCCCCCTCTCCCCCTCCTGCTCTATCTGAAGATAAATGCAAAAAATGTCCTTGGGTGATGATAAAAAAAAAAAAAATGGCAAAGGACCACAACCCCATTTGTGGGGGAAGAGAGTTGTCAGATCCCTAATACCTCATATTCCACATAAGTAGATTTCATCTGAACTGAGAAATAAAACACACTTAGTAGAAAACATAGAGAGAATATTTAATAATTTTAGGGGTGAGAAAAGCTTAGTAGACACCAAAAAATTGTAAATTTTATGACATAAATATTTAAAATTTCTATAGGGAAAAAGATAGTAGAGGTAATGTCACAAAAAAAGAGTTAATCATTAACTGTACAATGAATTACCTAGAAGACAATGACATTGATGTAATAGCCATAATAAATATTTTTTGAAAACTACTGGGAGCCCTGGCCGGTTTTGCTCAGCGGTTAGAGCATCTGCCGGCGGACCAGAGAGTCCCGGGTTCATTCCCACTAAGGGCACATACCGCAGTTGTAGTTTGTCCCCCACCCCGGTTGGGGTTGTGTGGGTGGCAACCACTCGATGTGTCTCTCTCACATCGATTTCTCTCTCTCTCTCTCTCTCTCCCTCCCACTCTATTTGAAGATAGATGCAAAAATGTCCTCGGATGAGAAAGAAAGGGAGGGAGGGAGGAAGGGAGGAAGGAAGGAAGGAAAGAAAAAATAAAAACTACTGGGGAAAAGGGTAAATTCAAATGAAAAAGTTTTAATTAAAAATTCAACAACCTCATTGCTAGTAGTCAAGAAAATGCAAATTAAAATAGTAAAATGTACTTTTCACCAAAAAAAGAATGACCAAAAAAGAAAAAATAAGATTTCTGTGATGGTTTAGGAGATATACTACTGGTGGTAAAAGAAACTGATACAGCCTTTTTGAAGAATGATTTGATAGTATGTTCATGCTTTTAGTAAACTTAGTAAATCTACTTTTAAAAATCCTACAGAAATAACCATACAAGTGTCCAACAATATTATATTATTATATATAATTATACATACACACACACACACAGATGTAATAATAAAATAATAGTGCTCAGTAAATATTAGCTATATGGTTCTAAGAGTTTTATATACATCAATTCACTTAATTCTCACGACAACTCTATAATATTAGGTCTGTTATTATCATCCTCATTTTGTAGACAAGAAAACCAAGGCACAGAGAGGTTAAGGAACTTGCTTAAGGTCACAGAGGAGGTATGAGGATTCAAACTCAGGTATTCTGACTCCAATATCTGAGCTCTTAACCACACCCAAACTACAATGTTTATTTCAATATTTTTTATATTAGCAAAATACTGTTAATAGTCAAATGTCCATGATCAGAGACTAGTAAAGTAAAAAATGATCCATCCATCATGTAAAAAAAATAAATGATACATTAAGTATAAATAAGCCACAAAAATGGTTTGGCATACTTTCATTTGTATCTTAAAAACAACCTCGGGGGGTAGGTTTGTGTGTACATATAATGTTCTTTTGTTTAGGCCTTTGTCCAAAAAATTAAATATCAAATAGTCAATACTGGTGTCTGGGGGGGGAGAACAGAATTAAAGAGTGAGGAGAAAGAGAGACTTGCACTATTTATTTTACATTATTTTCATATTAGGTGACTTCTTTTATAATTGGCATGGTATTATTTTTTTAATTAAAAATAAATTTAATAAGCAAACGAACAAGAAAGTAGAAGCACAGGTTAGGTAAGATGCTAATAAGACTGACTACTGGATCTACCCCCATGTAAATTGGTTAAATTTGCTATGCCATAGATTGAAGAACTGTAAACTTGGCCAACTGTTCCAAATATTTTGACACTGATTATAATATAGTAAGATTGGCATATATCAATTCAAGAGTGTTCAACATCCTTAGTGAGAGTCACACTGCTTGGGTTCAAATGAAGCTCCACTATTTACTAGCTATATATATGGTTTTAGGCAAGTCACTTAACCTCTCCATGTCTCAACTTCCTCATTATAATATATGGATAATAACATTTGCCTTATATCAGTGGTTCTCAACCTTCCTAATGCCGTGACCCTTTAATACATTCCTCATGTTGTGGTGACCCCCCCAACCATAAAATTATTTTCGTTGCTACTTCATAACTGTAATTTTGCTACTGTTATGTTTTAAGCGACCCCTGTGAAAAGGTCATTCGACCCCCAAAGGGGTCATGACCCACAGGTTGAGAACTGCTGCCTTATATGTTTAAATATTTGTAAAGGCCTTATAATACCTGCACAAAACATACATATTCCTTTTGTTAGATAAAATAAATAACTCAAGAAAATACTCATACGTGCATTCTGATATTAAGCTAAGAGTACCTCTCTATGTCCAAAGACATTGGTAACCTCTCCAAGAAAAACTAAGTGCATCAAACATAGTAAGAGTTAAATATTATTTTACAAAACTTTTTAAAGGCTATACAGATACATGTATGAATACTGCACACCATAATGTAAAATATATTTCTCATGGACAAAAGTGTGTGAAAGCCACAGTACTGGAGCATAACAGTGAGTGGCTTAGAGCTTTGTCCTCTGCCACCACCACATCCCAAGAACAAACCCCACCACAACAAGCCTAATGTGGTGGGTTCAAGCCTGGGTTCCTTTACCTAAAAGGGCTGTACCGTAAACACAGTTTTCAACCCTTATCATATACAAAAATGACCTGATTTAAAGCAAATTCAAAATACTTTCTCCTCCTCAAATGTCTTCTTTATTATCTCTAGATTAAATCCATATAACTATTAATATATTTTTAATTGGGACCAAGCAATCCTCTCCCTCAAACATTTTGCCTCCCTACCCAAATCTCATCTTGATTTTAATGCACCTTGATCCAAATTCTGATCTTTCATAGGTTTATTGATAATTTTTAAAAATTCTGTCACTTCAATAAATAATAAAAACAGCTACGTATAATGCCCTGTCAAATGTAAGAATCATCTTTACTATCTGTAGTAACTCTGCTTTTAAAATAAAAGCATGACACATTATAATTGACCTATCAAAGTTAGATATTTGAAATTAGGCTTATTTCAGTATATAAATCAACTGTATTAGGCATATTTTAAACCTACTGGCCCTCAAAATATTTTTTCCAATACACTGACTGAGTCTCTCTAACACACCATTTCTCCCACATCATGGCTCATACATAACCTGTTTAAAATGAAGTAAATTATAAAGTTCCCAAGAACCCCTAGCCCATCCCAGCCCCCCAAAAAAGAATAGATCCTTTTCTTCATATTTCCTGAATCCTTTTTGCATTCTAGAAACAGTAATTTACACATCTTGTACATCTTTATGAATTCAATAAGAACCAATTTAGAAACTCTTCAGTTCATTCCCCACTCAAAAGATGATGAAATCTAAATCTAGAGAAGTAAAGTAACTTCCTCAGAGACACATGCTTTGGACTGAAATTATGTATGATTATGGGACTGCTAAATCTTTTCATCAGCTTGAAAAATAGCCTAGGGTTATAAATATTAATTAACCACATACATTAAAACTGTACAACTGCAAGTAACTATCACAACCCATCATATACTATAAACATTTTTACATGTTTTGTTAGTATGTCTTCTAGAACTTTAAAAATAATTTCTTAAGGTTTTTAAGTTTCATTTTACAGAGAAACAAGCTTCGTTCCAAAAGTATTACTTCCGTGTTACCACATCATAGCTATGTGTAAGATTCTTTAATGAATTAACTAGTATTTAAAACATAAGATCACAATTACCTCTATATTTTTAATATCTAAATTTTACATTAATAAAGTTTCTCCTAGTGTCTTTTAAAAGTAAATCATTTCTGATACAAATGGAGAAATCACAATAATTTATCAAAATTCAATTTTTGGGGGGGTCTCATACCTGTTGCTCATCCTCCATGACGTTACTAGCAAACTCAAATACTAGGTCGTTCTGTTGGACAACAGCAGCCATAATAAAGCATTCCCCTTAGATCCACATGAGAAAAATTCCAAACAGGTTCAAGTATCAGGCAGCAGAATCCAGTGACAATTTGGGTAAAAAACAAAAAACAACCAGCTGAGTCTGTGAAGTTACTGTATACCCGGATTTTCTTTAGGGAAAGTGCTTCAAATTTTCTTGGTTTCTTTAGGAAAGGTGCTTCCAATTTTCTGACACTCTATTCAAACAGAGGCAATTTTTCTGAAATGTTTCTGCTCCAGAACTTCTTGGCCTGAAAAACAAAAGCTTAAGTTAGTTACGAAAAAGCAATCATACCCACTTAGAATATAACAATTGATACCAAGGGCAGTGCCTCCAAAGTATTTCTGTTAATGTTTTTAAACAAAATCAACACAACTAATGAACACAAGACTTTTTTTTAAAGTTAGGTACATATTTTCTTTGAAGATTTCATTCCTACTAAGATAAAATCACCTCTCATTACTGAAAAATGAAGCTAATCTCCCCTCCCCCCAGTTAAACTGCTGTTAAAGTACACCAAATATTTAAAAATATACATATATTCACACAGCAACAACTAGGTTTGTAATTATAATAAAGGACATATAAACAGTTTTCTTCTTTCCACTAGCCTAGCAAACCACATACATAGGAAATACTACTCCAATGAGTAATTTCGTAATGTATATTTTTGCCTTAATAGAAACATTCAGACATTACCTCTTATAGGCCTAATATATAAGGATTTAAAAATCTGTCTGATAAATTTAAACTTTAGTAAGTACGATTTTAAGAGCTTTTAAAAATAAGCAGAAATTAAAGCCCACTTTCTGTTCTTTAAAAAGGTTTCTGATAAGTAGAATGCTTTACCATGCTTAAGCCTGTCTTCAGTGGCTTCTTTTTTAATGCACTGAAATGTATCCTTATCTCTAGCACAGGCTTGCAAGCAACAGGAAGGAAACAGCACTTGACCACGTCATGGCAAATTAGAACATGCAAAGAACTGCACTTTACAATACTAGAAAAACAGAAGCGCAACTTAAGAGTGAAAACAATCCACAGTGGAGGGAGAAGTGCTTAAAAAGTACCTTCCAAAGATGTTTGCCTATTTTTTAAAAAATTATCACTATTAACAAAAGTAAAAGGAATATTTCAATTTAGAAGTTCATTGTAATTTTATTAACTGTTGCATCATATGATTATAACCATAAATGAGAATGAAAAGACAAAGATATAAAAATATATCACATTAAATAACATCTAGTTCTTTGAAACAGCATTTGCAATTTAATTTTAAAGAGACAAGTTCAGGAATGAAGCTGAGCTGCTGAATGAGTTTCCCTGAAAACTTAAATCTAGGCAGCACGTGCCAGCCAAGTCATATACTTAGTTTCCTAATTTCAACAAAGCCAATTCCCTATATATTCTGGACTCTACAGGTCATCAAGGATAACTGTGATGTCCCTAAGATATCAAAATAAAATAAGGGTTAATAATTCAATTCAGGTGATATTTCCACTGACCAAATTAAATTCTAACCCAGCAGTTTCCCACATTCACCCACCCCATCCCTTTTAATAATGAAATAACTCAAGCATTGGGTATTGTTAGCACCTTCAGGTAGTTTTTGAGCAATGCACCATTATCTAAAAAAAAAGGGGGGGGGGTGTGCTTTGATCTAAACTGATCACAAACAGACATATAAACATAAGATATACATTTGACCTTGGACAAACATTACTTAAAATCTTTTCCTTTAAAATATCACCCAACCCAATTCTTCTATACTAGTCTTGCCTCCCTATAGACCTCCACACAAACTCTAGTATTTTTTGCCTCTCTTCTCAACTTCTGTTATTCCCATTACAGGAATACCTCTCCCATTTCTCAGCACCCATTTGCATCTTTTCCATTCTTCAATGCTCAACTAAAATACCATTTCTTTCACAAAGCTTCTTAACCTCTATGTCTTAACTGATATGCCTTCAAAAATAAAGCACTTACTGCCCATGCCACAAAGTCAGCATTAACTATTTGTCTCACATTTGAAAATTATGTCCCACTAATTCAATTGTCTCACATTTGAAAATTATGTCCCACTAATTCAATTGTCTCACATTTGAAAATTATGTCCCACTAATTCAATTGAATAAAAGTTGAGTGCCTATTATTTGCAAATCAATGTGCCAGCTACCAAGATAATTAAAGCAAAACCTCTCTCTACTCTCTGGGTAATTAACCACTGTCTAAAATTTCTTCTATACCTACCAAACCTGTGTGCCCATATTAATAATAAATATAATTATATTAGTGACAGATATTGTTTTAAAAATCTATCATTAGATAGTTAAGCTATTTCTACATATATTCCTAATAAACAATGACTGTAGTGCTTTTTTTTTTTTTTAGGCCAGTCAAGTGACGCAGTGGGAGTAGAGAAGGAACAAAGAAATCTGTAACTAGTTGTGATCAATTAGTTGTAAGACACCACTGCACTCGGACCAACCTGTAGTGCTTTTGATAATGAGGAAACCATTATCCTAATACAAAAGTTTCTCTGCAAAAGGTTAAATTCCAAAAGCTATTCAAAATCCATTTGTTCGCAAATACAAAGTGACACTGTACCAATGACCAATGTGAACACATTTACATAAAGTTAAGTTTCACTTTCTTTTCCACTGCAATCGTGGACCTTTTCTTACTAGCACTTCCACACTGCTACTGTGCTTTAATGTATTTTAAAAATCTCAAAAATAAGGACAAGCAATCAACATACACCTTACAGTACACACTAACAACAAACAGCAATAAACTAAAACTGAAATGAGTGCTCATTTTCATTAAGCCATGTTAGGATAGAGACATCTTTACTCTGGTAGCTTTTGTTCATTTCAATATAGAAGTTCATAAACTGAAAATGTGTCAGTAAAGAAAAACTCCTGAACTGTTTCATTGGCTTAATTACGCCTTTGAACATCTGTCTTTTTTCCACTCTCCTTTCTGCTCTTCCTCTTCTCTGAATAGTTACTTAACCTAAAGCACCAAAGGTGGTTCTAGGGAAAGAATTTTCTGATTCCTGATCCAGAGGTACCCCCTAAACATATTACAGGTACTTGAATAACAAAGCCCCTATAAATTAAAATGTTTTCGGTAATAGATGAGAATGAAAATCCAGATCAGTGATTCAAGCTTTCATGAGTAAACTGAGTCTCTGTGCCCAGTCTCACAGTCTGAAAGCACAACAGAACTACAACTAGAACCCTCATCTTCTAAATGAGGACTCTGTCCGTGACTACAATATATAGCCTTGCCTGTAAATCTACCCAAATCTTTTATGCTTTAGTAGTTTAGAACACAGATTTCTAAGTAAATACATGTATCAAATGAGGAAAAACCAAATATCCATCTAGTTCAGGTCCCGATCTCCAAATCCACTCACTAAACAAACTACTAGATAAATCCACCTCAGTGTCCCTCAAAGTCAATGTGTCTAAAATATGTCCAAAACTGAACTTAACCATTTTATTCCTCAAAACTGCTGAATGGATAAACATGGATATGCAAATTGAGGATGGAAAAAGGCCTCTGCTTTACAAATTATAAGGTCTTTAGTAAATTTAAAATGTTTTAATTTACTAACCATTAGCTATATGTACTGTATTTGGGAACACTCTGCTGTGTTAATAGTTTTCAAATGTATTTCATTTTCAAAGTGTCACTTAGTCTTTAAAAAGTAAGAAAAAATATAAGTAAAAATTGTTCATTCAACAGAAAGATATAAACAGTTAACTTATTTGTACAGTTTTGAGAGGTCATCTAGTTGGGCATCTACCAAATAATAATATCTGGCTTTCATGTCTTTTAACTGGATAAGGACCTATTTTCAGTCTTCAAGGAGACATGCCAGAGGACTGTCTCAGCAGTAAGGTTCTTAACCTCTTATCTCCCTCCAAAAAGCTTCAGATTTAAGGTAAAATAGTAAAGTAAGCAAAACAAGATCATAGGCTCTGGAGTCAGACCTCTTGGGTTTGAATCTTCTGCATTGTGACCTTAGACAAATAACTTAATGTCAGTCTCCTCTTTCTGTAAAATACTGACGTTATAAGCCACAGTTTCCTCCTTTTGTAAAATGGGTATAATAAATAGCACCAAAATCTAGAGTAGTGAAGATGAGATGCAAAATGCATATGCATTATTGATAATAAAAAGAACTAATCAAACAAAAAAACAAAAGGGCTTTATCTAAGACTATTCTGGCCCAAAGAAGGTATAATTCACCAGCTTAGAGCAACAGAGTGGTTGAATGACTACCTTTAATTTTCTAATCCTCACTCCAGGATATTTTTCTATTCATCTTTAGATTGAGTGGGAGGGAGAGGGAGAGAGAGAGAAACATCATGTGAGAGGGACACATCAACTGGCTGCCTCCCACGGGACCTGAACCAGGGCCGGGGATGAACCGCAACCAAAGTGCGTGCCCTTGGCCTGAATCAAACCTGCGACACACTGGTCCGCAGGCCAAAGCTTTAACCGTTGAGCCAAACCATCCAGGGCTACCTTTAATTTGAATGACTACCTTTCATAAAGCATTCAGACAGTGTTTGTGTGTATATATGCAGGTGTGTATATATATGTATATGTATATATGTGTACATTTATAGAGTTGGAAATATCTAGAGAACTGGAATTCTGTAGTAACCCCAGATGCCAACTACCTGAACAGAAAGTATTTTTACATTAAGTAGTAATCTAATAAATAATCCTTCTCACCATACAGACATACGTATTATAAAAAAAGGAGGTATATTTGGGGGAAAAATTACATTACAAAAAATGCAATGCAATGGAAATTAAAGAAAAATAGAAAGAGAGAAGAGAAGAGAAGCTACATAAATGAGAAGCAAGCAATAAACCACAAACTATAATGACTGGAATTCTTGTATAGCAGACCATAGTTAGGCCTTTTTGTTTGTTTTCTAATATGGTAGAATGCTTCATATTAGCTCCCAGCAGAAATGAAAATAATAAATCAGTGGTATCAAAATAAATTCTGTATACTCTTCCAAGAGCCTTCCTATTCTAAAAGTATAGAACCACACAACTTTAGAGCTGGAAAAGATCTAAGAACTAACTAGGACAATGCATAAATTGAACGGCTAATTTATTTGGGCTACAGCACTCTGACTTGCCCAAGATCACACAGTTAATGGCAACAAAAGCAAGAGAGACTCCAATTCCCAGTCATGCCCCTTTCTCTACATTAATAGAACTTCATTAGTATTTTTCTTTAGCAGAATATCTGGAAAAATAAGAACTCCCTTACACAAATATATACAGCAATGGTCTCTACACTATTTCGTGCAACCTCTTGATGCCTGGTAAATCATTTTCAAGCACATTTTACCTGAAACAGAAGTTTGTAGATTTTTCTAGTATTGCTTTAAATTTTACAGTTTTACTATTATTGTTCTTTCCCAAGTACTATCATATCATACCATCTTGCTTTGCCTTCACTCATCCTAAAAATTGAAAAGAAAACATTGTTAAGCCTTTTTATAAAGCTACCACAACTCAATAACTCATTAAAATACTTTTAAATTTTAGTGACATTTTTCTTGCTAGTTCTTTAAATACACATTTCTATCAGTTACATTTGAAAATCTGTGGAGCCCTGGCCGGTTTGGCTCAGTGGTTGGAGCGTCGGCCCATGGACCAGAGAGTGCCGGGTTCGGTTCCCGCTAGGGACATGTACCATAAACAAACAAACAAATAAATAAATAAATAAAAATTTGTGGATATGGAAAAAAAAACGATAACCACACCAAAATGTAGTTACAGTTAAGAAATCAGATTTGAACTTCCCCAAACAAGGGTAGTCTCTCAGTTCCTTCAGTTCCTACTGAATAAGGAAACAAAGAAACAAAAAAACACCAATTGTAAAATAAATCTCACTATATAGCCCTCTCTAAATCATGTACTCTATAAACAACAAAATATAAGAAGAAAAATACCAGATAATGTCACAAGAAAAACAAATCATAACTTAATTCAAAAAGAAAATGTTTCTTGCCCTGGCCGGTTCGGCTCAGTGGTTAAAGCAACTGTCCACAGACCAGAGTCCTGGATTCAATTCCAGCCATGGGAATGTGCCTTGGTTTTGGTTAGTCCCCGGCTCTGGTTGTGGTCATGTGGGAGGTAACCAATCGATGTGTCTCTCTCACATCGATGTTTCTCTCTCTCTCTTCCTCCTTTCCTCCCTCCCGCACTATCTGAAGATAAATGGAAAAATATCCTCGAGGGAGGATTAAAACAAAAAGAAGAGCCCTGGCCAGTTTTGCTCAGCGGTTAGAGCATCAGTCCTCGGACCCAAGTCTCGGGTTCAGTTTCCACTAAAGGCACATGCCTCGGTTGCAGTTTGCCCGGCCCCGGTTGGGGTGGTGGGTGTGAGTGGCAGCCAGTTGATGTGTCTCTCTCACATCAATGTTTCTCTCTCTCTCTTCCTCCCTGTCTCCCTCCCGCTCTATCTGAAGTTAAATGCAAAAATGTCCTCAGGTGAGGATAAAAAAAGAAAATGCTTCTATACTCCACCCTTTAAATTAAAATTATTTTAAATATTCAAGGAAGCTAAGAAAAATTTTTTAATGTTTTAAAATATATTCTTGGAATCCATAAACGTACCATATATTTTACCACCAATATCTTTTAATTAACTATCCTGCTTTAGGCATCTTTCATTGCAAGTTGGGGGCAGGTAAGGGGAAGTGAAATATCTAGAACTGTTTCAAAAGTAGTTTTATTTTTGTGTGAATGAAGCATAAATCGGTGTTTCTTAAATAGGAAGTCTCACTCAGGCTTCTGGTGACATATGCAAAACTGAAGCAGGCCTTGAAAACCTGAACAAGCTCATCTTAGCTTCGACCATGTTAAGGTGAAAAAAAAAAAAAAAAACCAAACCCACAAAGTTAATATGATCAAGCCAAACAGTCTGACTTCTCTCTATGCTTTCACCTTTATGCTGACACCCAGATGAACAGTTCCAGGACTCTAGAGGCAGGCTGCAATTACTCACTACCCAGACCTGAAATTCCAGTTCTTTCACATTATTCTCTACTTTCCATCATTGGCCACTTGGGCCTACCTGGTATCAGATTACACTCTGGCAGCATTCATAGCACCTTGCAGAACAGCCAAACAGATCACATACCTAGACCTGTCCATACCTGTGGTCTCAAGATTAACCCTTTTTTTGGAGCATATTCTGAAAATTTAAAACCAAAGAGAAATATCCAACAGTAACCAGATTCTGCTTTAACTTTGGTCATGAAAAATGTTTTTCTTTCTCAAAAGGTTGAAAGTGATAATTATCAAAATGTTATTAATTGGTGCTTTTTATTTTGCAAATAAACTGACTGAAGAAACTTTCTTTTCTCTAGCACTCTGAATCTGAACGGTGACAAAAACACCTATCCAGGAAACACAGACATGCTAAAATGTGCTTATCCACAAAACCTATTTGGGTAGTTAAAATATTTATCTCTGTAATAAACAAGAATCAACTTGCAAGAAACTTCTGTTTCATTTCTGTGATTGTTTATTTTCCTTTTGAATATTTTCATCTTCTTAGAAGATACGCTCTAGGTGCAGCGATTTTCAATGGGTGTGCCGTAAGAATTTTTTTAAACATACAATACCTGACTATTCAGTCAGAGGCACTGACCTCTTTTCCTTAGATTGTCCAATTTTAAAAAATGACAATAGCCAACACAACAGCAGCCATCCAGTGTGAATTAATCAAAATTATACTTAATTTTTTGGTCAGATCAGCAAAAAATATATTTTTTGGTGTGCCACAGGATTTTAGTAATTAGTTTATATGTGTCATGAAATGAAAAAGGTTGAAAATCGCTGCTCTAGTGTAATGGTTCCATTTGCGAACATAGCAGATTCTCATTAGTTAATAGTGTTTCACTCTGGCCCAAACCAAAGGGGAAAAGCTAGGGATATGTTGTTCAAGTCTCCTAGGAGATTTTGCTACATGACACACCTCCCCCAACTCCCAACTTCCAGATTACACAATACTGTATTCTGTCATAAGAAGTTCCACTCTTATGCCCTAGACAGTTTGGCTCAGCAGTAAGAGTGTCAGCCCATGGACCAAGGGCAAGTACCTCAGTTGTGGTTCATCCCCGGCCCTAGTTGGGTTGTGCAGGAGGAAACCAGTCGATGTGGCTCTATCACAACAATGTTTCCCTCTGTCTCTCTCTCTCTCTCCCTCCCTCCCACTCTATCTGATGATACACAGAAAAATATCCTCGGGTGAGGAATAAAAAACAAAAAAAGTTCCACTCTTACAGAGACACACCGAAAGTTGAAAGCAGTATGTAAAGATCATATAAATAGTTCAATGGCCATGAATTTGCATTATTAGGTTATAGCTGCTCCACATATTCAATTGATGGGTCTTTACTACCTTTACTCTAGCTCCCCTCCAGTGGTTCTTCACCCTACAGGAAGAGAAACTTACCAAAAACGAAAATACAATCAACTTACTCCTCTACTTAAAACTAATCGGTGGCTTCCACTACTTATAGGAAAAACTTCAAATCTATTAATGGGGCTTAAGAGGCTCTTCATGATGTTGCAAAAGGTATGAAAAAACATGGCCAGTCAGATTTTTAAAACAGGATATCTGAACACCAAGACTGTAAAAGAAGTGGACGGGAATCTTCCATGGATCAAGTTTAAAAGAATCAGTTTTGATACTCTTCATTTTCATCTTAAAATCAAGTATTCCAGCATTTCTGTATTTTATAGTCCCTCATGGCCCCCTACTCCACTCCAGTAATAAAGAAGCCAAAGTCAGTTCTGCCCCATTTCCCCCTAGAACCCTAAATGTACTACCCTTTCCTAGGTTTCTGTCTGTGCTAATTGCCATGTTCAATTCAGATTTCTCTATGTATTCTTGGATGATCATAATCTTTTATATCTGTGATAAGGTTCTCTTCCAAATCACAGTGGGACCAGACTTGAGGATATAAACTCCAGAGAAGCAAAATATTTTCACTTTTTTCCCAAGTTACCAACATATTTAATGAACTTCAAGATTCCTTGTGCCCAAAATGTCCAGCTCCCCAAATGTGAGAATGAGCTACTGTTTTCATAGTGAACCCTTTTCTTCTTTAAATAACAGAAAACTATAGCCCTGGACGGTGTGACTCAGTTGGTTGGAGCATCATCCTGTACACCAAAGGTGGTGGGTTTGAGTCCCAGGCAGGGCACATACTATAGGTTTCGGGTTCCATCCCTGGACAGGATGTATGCACAGGAGGCAACCTGATCAATGTCTCTCTCTCACATCGATGTTTTTCTCTCTTTCTCTCTCTAAAAGAAAAGAATAAATCAAAATAAATAAATAATAGAAAACTATTTTACCTAAGTTTTCAAACAATTTCTGGTGCTTCATATGAAGATCCTTAAAATGAGATTCTTCCTACAATTGCCTTCATAACTGTCTGGCACTCACCTAGATTCTAAACTCAATGGCACCAAAAAACTAGAAGCAGCAAAACCACAAGATGAGAGTTGAAAGGAGAAGTAGAAATCATGGGCTTAGTATTGTAACACATACTTAAAATACAGGTATGTAATATTTAAAAATTATACATGTTAGGTATATTTTCCTACTGTACAAATCTTAGGAGTAAACTTTAAGTACTATGCATAAGTAATATGAAGATTTAAAATACAGAATCGTTAAAATTTTAGACCTTGCATTTTTTATAATATAATTTCTCAATCAATTTTTAAATCATTTGAATCTATTTCAGTTATTGTTAAGTAAAAGATGTGTCAATGACCCCTTGCCTTAAGTTTTCTGATAGAAAACAGTTTTATTATATTAATTGATATATACCAAGAGTTAATCAAAAGATCCCACAGTATCCATTTTCAAAAGGAACTATGCTTATACTGATTGACTTGGTGGTAAAAAGTTGATGAATATTTACTGAACTTCTCGGAAGCTCAGTATTATGGTAAAATAAATATATAAATTATATATATATATATATATATAGAGAGAGAGAGAGAGAGAGAGAGAGAGAGAGCGCGCGCGCGCACGCGCATGCTCGCAAGCATGAACTTGTCTCCATGAAGTTTATAATGTAGTTCATAAGACCAAGGGAGACAACTGAACATCAAAGGTGGTATTTTAATTAAATGCTAATAAAGCTGTTCAGTCCTGGAGCATTTCAGAAGAGGGGATGGTCAAATGGGTCAAGGAAATACTTCCTAGACACTGAAGGACCTAAACTCAACCTTAAAGGAAAGCAGGATGTAGATAGGATAGAGCGTGTGTGCGTGTGTGTGTGTGTGTGTGTGTGGTGTGGGGGCCCACACACACACACACACAGAATCAAAACTAACTGAAGTAAGTTTGGAGATAGAAGCTTGGCAAGAGCTAAGAGTTGATAGTGGGAAACAGTACAACATGTGGTTAAGTAAGTAAAGCCAAACTAAACCATGGAGAGCCTTCAAAGTCAGGCAGTGGAATTTAGGCTTGATTTGGGAAGAAGTAGAAAGATCCTGGAGGTTTTCAAATGAGACTGCAACAACAGAGTGTGGTCCCTATGGTTACAAAGCACAATGCAAGTCACATATGTAGGATCTGGTAACTACCATTCAAAAGTGATGAGGACAGTTTAAACAAACATTCCATAGTTTGATTGCTACAATGATAGCTTCCAGCCATTAAGTGTATACTACCATCCTTAAAGTCTTCATTAATTACTTATAAAAGGCTCAGAAAATGATTATGACCACTTTTAAAATTCGAGTGAGCCCTGGCCGGTTTGGCTCAGCGGTTAGAGCGTCGGCCTGCAGTCCTGAGAGACCGGGGTTCGGTTCCCACTAAGGGCATGTACCTCGGTTGCAATTTGTCCCCGGTCCTGGTCAGTCGTGCGGGTGGCAGCCACTCGATGTGTCCCTTTCACATCGATGTTTCTCTCTTTCTCTCTGTTCCTCTCTCTCCCTCCCACTCTACCTGAACAAAAACAAAAAACAAAAAACAAAAAAAAATAAATAAATTACTTATAAAAGGGATTCTTAACAGTGGTTTTAAGCTGCTCAGGTTGTGGAAAAATTATCTGAAACAAACAAAAAAAATCACTTAACCAATTTAATTTACTTCAAGTTTTTGTTCATTGCCTAAGGATTTGAAGAGGGGAGAAACAGAAAAACATGATCTTCAAAAAGATATAAATCATTACCATATACTCTTTCGTACAAGTTATTCAGTTGAACAGCAATACTGCCCTACATCTATTTGGATACTAGTGAAACTTTGACATACATGAACTAGTTGCATCTATAGATAATTGTATCTTGTCATTTAGTATTAAATATTTTGAATAGATAATGCTGATACAATAGTGACTGCAATCACCAACATTCAAGAAATCTTTACTTTCTTCCAGGGTGATATTTAGAGAGAGGTGAAAATGTCAAGCTGACCAATTAAAGTTTCCATTTTACCTGACTTTTAAAAAAATATATGATTTATTGATTTTTTTAGAGAGAGAGGGAGTGAGAGATAGAAACATGGATGTGAGAGAGATACATCAATTGGCTGCCTCCTGCAAGCCCCCTACTGAGGATCAAGCCCGCAACCCGGGCATATGCCCTGATTGGGAATCAAACCGGGATCTCTCAGTCCATGGGAGGATGCTCAATCCACTGAGCCATACCTGGCAGTCTAACCTGACTCTTCATTAGAGGTATTTTCTGCTTTATGGCTTTACCTTACTCTTGGAAAATTTAAGAATTCAAAGTTGCCTTAGTAGATGTAACAGGCAATTATTATTACATTTTTTAAAAATACTTCACCATAAAGACACCCACAGGAGTTGTACAAAAGCCCAATGAAGTTCATTTATGTTATCATTTGTTAGTAATACCTAGTGCTGAACAAATTTATTTTACAATTTACAAAGCAAAACATATATACTACTTTAAAAACCACTAATGCTTTTGCAAATACAAAATACCATGACAGCCCCTGATGGTTTGGTTCAGCGGTTAGAGCATTGGCCCTCGGACCAAAGAGTTGCAGGTTTGATTCTGATCAAGGGCACGTACCTCGGTTGCAGTGCAGTCCCCAGCCCTAGTTGGGGTCATGCAGGAGGCAACCAGTCGATGTGTGTCTCTCACACTGATGTTTCTCTCTCCCTCACTCTCTCCCCCACCCATTCCTCCTGGCTCCCTCCCACTCTGTCTGAAAATAAATGGAAAAATAGCCTCAGCTGAGGATTAAAACAAATTTTTCTTTATATATACCATGATATCCTTAAGAAGCTTAAGTAAGAGATGACAGCAAGATAGAAAATAAATATGTAGAAGAAAGTAATAGCTACCATTTACGTGTGCCAGGCCCTATGCTGATTCTGTCATTTAATGTTCACGTCAGTAATATCTACCTCACTTTATATATGAGAATATAAGAACTGAGAGAGTCAACAAAATAGGGCAGGGATTTTGTCATGGTCATCATCATACTTCCATATCTTACACAGATGGTCCATAATAAGTATCTGTCAAAGCAATACTCAAGGTATTAAGAGAGATTTTGGGCACGTGTCTGACTTCAGCTCATGTTCATTCATCTATTCATCCATTCAACAAATATCCACTCAGTACCTACAATATGCTAGACTCTATTCTAAATGCTAGGAATACAGCAGTGAACTAAATAGACCAAAACTTCTGCCTTCATGGGGCTTCTAATCTTGTGATCCTAATCAAAACATTATGTTCCCCCTCAAAATATTTTGCATTAAAAATGTGGGATTGGCCTAGCCGGTGTGGCTCAGTGGATTGAGCAGAGTCCCATGTACTGAGATTCCGGTCAGGGCACATGCCCAGGTTGCAGGGCTCGATCCCCAGTAGGGGGCATGCAGGAGGCAGCCAAATGATGTTTCTCTCTTTCTCTCCCTTCCTCTCTCTCTAAAAAAAATCAATACAAACATATTTTTTAAAAATGTGTGATTGTCAGGCAATACAGGCTGTTATCTCACAACCTATGAATAGAAACTCTGCCAGTCTTCTTCCATGTCTATCTCCCATGACATTGTGTTGAAAGTCAAATTAGGCCACATTATCAACGGTCATTTACTTTTGTTAATAAAAAATATTTAGTTACTGAAATTCTTAATTAAAATGGCAAAAGAGAAGTATTTTCATAAGTCCGCTTTAGTATTTTATAGAATGTTACATGATATACTCACTTGCCAGAACCAAGTGATGGTAGGTTAGGCTTCACTATCCTCAAAATGACACATACACAGGTATTTTCTGATTCAAACAGAAAAATTCACCAACACTACCAACAAATGGTGCGTAAACAGGAAGCCCCACATGAAAAAGGGCACTCAAAAACCCTATGAACTATTTTCCACATGTCTAGCTAAAATCAGGTTTCGAAAAACAAAAGAAAGACTTACTTGGTTCTTTGGAAATTCCTTAAAAATGAAATCCATATAGTTTTATAATTTTTCCTTCAATCTTTAAAAACCAGAATTAAATCCTTAGATTTGACTTTCTGTTTCATTTGATCATTAAAATTTGATTTTTAGAAATGAGACCGCAACATATATCAATTTTCAGCTGGCAAAACTATTAATATATGAACTTTTGAAACACATAACTAGAATAGGCAGGTCTAAACTGAAGTCCTACTTGCAAAAAAATCTTGCTCTGTTAATAAGACTGCAATTTACAAGCCAAAAATCACTGAGGTACATATGACTTAGAGACAGGAACAGAGAAAAATATAGGGAAAAGCAAAAAGTATTAAAGGAAATCATTCCCTCCATTCAGTGAAGAAATCAGGGCTACAATGAAGATCTAGACATTTTCTTCAGATTAACTGAAAAACAAACATAAAAGACTTTGATGCTCAGCAATTTAAGAAACCAAAGTAATCTCAGCTACGTTTTTTTAGTGGACCAATACATAATTCCCACTTTTAACTAGGATAGAAACACTAATTATTTCACTTAAGATACTGGCTTTCTATAAATAACAAGAACAAATAGGAGAGGGCAGAAGCAGGAGAGAAGTCAGAATTAAATTATTTCTTACAATTAAAAATCATAACAGAATACTGTAGAAAAGAGCCACATTACAGTTCTTTAATCAGCTTGATTTTTTTTTTCAATCCTCACCCGAGGATATTTTTCCATTTATCTTCAGGTAGAGAGAGAGGGAGAGAAAGGGAGAGAGGGGGACACATCGACTTTTTGCCTCCTGCACAACCCTGACCAGGGCCAGGACAAACCACAACCTAGGTACGTGCCCTTGGCTGGAATTGAATCCAGGACTCATTGGTCCGCGGGCCAACACTCTACCGCTGAGCCAAACCAGCAGGGCAGCTTGTTGATTTTTAAATAAAGAAATTAAATTGGGGCATACATTTATTCATCCAATAAGTATTTATGAAATCTATTATATGCTAGGTACTATGTACACAAAAACAAAGTAATTCACTGCCTAAAGAAAGAAAAAAATATGTAAACAGATAACTACAGAACTACTTAATAAATAAATCAATCAAGTGACAAGGGAGTAGAGAGAAAGAAAGAAATACCTGTGAGAACCTGAGAAAACTTCTCAAAAAAGAGACATGTGAGCCATTTCTTTAGGGAAAAGTAACACCTATTTTTTCAAAGTAGAGAGAATGTGAGGGCAAGGGGTAGGGGTAGGAGGACATTTCAGGTAGGAGCAAAGGTAAATGTAAAAGCATAAATCAATGAATAACAGGGAAAATAGCAATTTAATGAAAACAAACTTTTTTTTTCCCCTAAAAGGACACAAGAGCTAGCATCTGAAGACCTGCATTCAAATCCTAATTCTGCCATTTACTAATTATATTTTCTTGGATAAGTCAACCTCTATGACTTCTTTTCATCATCTTAAAGTTGTACCATAAAATATTTTAAACGTATTAAATAATCTTGAAACACCCAAATACAAAAATAAATAAATGCTTAGACTAATAAATGAATATACTACTAAAATTCATATTGAATATATACCATATATAGAAACAGCCAATCTTTCATGGCTTATAAAAATTTCACAAAAGTAAACACATTTTTGAATTATGTAAAAGTTCTATTTTCTATATATAACACATCTAATTGTAATCTATACATTCTATAGAATACAAAACAAGCCTACAACATACCCAGAATCAGCAAGTGATAAAAGTTTAATGAAATAAGCTTTATACTTAACTGGTCTCCCTAATAGGAAATTAAAGCAGCAGCTGTACATCTGTGTCTCTGTTCCTCTCATCGTGGTTTAACTGACAGGAAGCAGAGAACAAGATATGGTATACAAACATCAAGTATTTCCTGCCTTCTCTGCTACATCTTTAAGTCTTGTTTTATAAATAGTCCAATAGTTTATGTGAAAATGTGTCAAAATATGGTGTCAGAAACATAACATACAAATGGTGAAGAGTGTTTATAAAAACAACAAATAAAAAAGATATTTTGAGGTTGGGATCCAAGTTCATAAAGCACACAATGACTCATTATAATTTAATGAAGAAGTGTTCTTAGTAAATACCTTACAAATTACAAATTACAACTTGAAAACTATAATGACAGTAAAAAAAAATCAAATGTCTGAACAACAGAATAATCCCTTCAACTATTTCACCCAACTGGTTAGATAAGTAACACTTGACCAGGGACCCTCCCAACTCCTGCCCTTACCTCTCAAAAAGATAGGTATCATTGAAAAAAAAAAAAAAAACCACCTTCAGGCAACTGCCTCAAAACAAAGCAGGACAAACAGCTTGCCTCTTTAATCTTTGGTCATTTTTTTACCATAGCTTATCAGCACTCTTCTGATTATAATTTGTGTCCCCCCAACCAAACAATATCTCTACTCCTTTACCCACTTCCCCCTTATATCCCAAACTTGGCTCACTTTACTTACTCATGTATGTTCAACTTTCAACTATACACAAACCAAATAAAATTCTACTTTCCTTTTTTTTTTATTATCCTCACCCAAGGGCATTTTTTGCATTTATCTTCAGGTGGTGGGGGGGACATCGATGTGAGAGAGACACATCGACTGGTTGCCACACACACAACCTTGGTTGCAGGGGCCAGGGACAAACTGCAACCAAGGTACATTCCCCTAGTGGGAACCAAACCCAGAACTCTCCAGTCCACGGGCCGAAGCTCTAACCGCTGAGCCAAACCAGCCAGGGTGCCCTTTGCCATTTTAATGAATGTTCTGTGATTTTCATACTAAGACTACCATCTTTGTTATATACTAAATTACATATGTACCAATTACCATATGCAATGATTTATTTCATTTAACTTTTTGTATTGTGCCAACATCACACTGCTTTCATAAGTATCACTTTATAGATTTAATAACTGATGAGATATCGCCGCCCCCCCCCCCAAAAAAATTGGAGGGTAGAGTTTTGAATAAATTTTAAAATTAGCTTCTTAAGTTACATAAAAACTCTGTTTCAATTTTAACTCTTCAAAGTTTAAAAGTATTCTGTCTTTTAAAATGATTTAGTCTTTTTTTTTTATCCTCACCCGAGGACATTTTTCCATTTTTTTTGTTCAGATAGAGTGGAAGGGAAAGAGAGGAAGAGAGAGAGAGACATCGATGTGAAAGGGACATGACCCAACCAGGACCTCTCTGGACCACAGGTCGATGCTCTAACCGCTGAGCCAAACTGGCCAGGGCTAAAATTCTACTTTCAAAGGTGAATCAGTCATGGGACGTAATGTACAGTATGGTGACTATCGTCAATAATCTTGTAGTGAATATTTAAAAGTTGCTGAGAGAGTTAAATCTTAAAAATTCTCATCACAAGAAAAAAAAATCTGTAGTTTCATATGGTGACAAATGGTAACGAGACTTATTGTGATGATGATTTCCAGTGTATACAAATAACAAATCATTAGACTGTACACCTCAAACTAATATAATGTTACATGTCAATTATACTTCAATAAAAAATAACATCTATTAACTTTTTAGTTAAAAAGTTTTAAAAGATGAATTCTTACTGTTAAGGATCTAAATTATTTAGGAAAAGATCTAAATTATTTTCAAGTGTGCATTTTAAGTCAACTTCCAATTAATTATAACTAAAACAGAGGTGCTCATTTTTCATCATGCCCACCTGTCTCCCAATTAATGATTTTTAAGAATCACCTCAATTCATCATTTCTGCCTCATTTCTATAAAACTTAGGAAGAATGAAGCCACATTCTCCATTCATACTGGTCAATTCTTACCTAAGCTATAAGCTACAACAACTACAATTTCACCAAGCTTTTGTGCTGTTCTTCTTAGTCAATATCCAAAAATGAATTAGTATTTTACTGCATATAAGACTATCTTGAGCTTCCTGTGACCTCTATTTTCTAAACAGAACTTGATATACACCTAAAAATCTACTTAAAGCATGGCATCATGCTCCTAAAAGTAACATTTATTAAATGAATAACTTGGAAAACAATTTCACTTTTACCCAGTATTTTTCAATGGAAAGGATCTAAATTATTTTCAAGTGTGCAAGAGTTACTATTACTAGTGCCTTCATGGCTTTTGTTTAGTGTACTTCTTTCTGCTCATACTTATAAATGTATTATTTCAGTTGTCCCAAAGCTCTAGGAGTAAGTGTTCCTGAACTCTGAGGAAAGTACCCATTTTCCATACACATTAGGTTGCTACCCACTGCCTCTGGGTCTGATGGTCAAATTACCCTAAAGGATGAACAACTCCAGAGAACTTGTGTCCAAAACCTTCTCAACAATCAAATATGCTAACAATGGTGTGCAACTATTTTATTGTATCAAGGGCAGAGAAGTACTATATCTTCCTTTCAGTGTATTCCCAAATCCTAACAGGTTATAAATTATCCTCTAACAATACACAAATTTGTCTCTGATCCATAAATCTGAGGATCAAGTATAATGTTCAGTTAAGAAACTTCACATAAAACATTTTGAATAAAATAATTGATACAACAAATCTTCTATTTCTAAATATAATTTGTTTCAAACTGTCTCTCAAACTAAAACACATAACATTAATTCCAATTAATTACTTTAATTTAAATCTAAAATCTTCACATTATTTTTCTTTATGCTTCAGCACATAAGTATGTATGTTTTGCGTGGTATATTTTTAACTTTATATAAATAGTATCATACTGCATATATTCTTCCAGCACACTTTAACAAACTTCTTTAAGACATACAATTTTTAATAAATACAAAGGTTATTTATAAAGGAGGTAAACATTAAACATTCTCTAGAATTCAGTGCTTAGAAAAATATGTTTACTAAACAAGTCATGATTATTAGGCTTCTATTATGAAAAGGGAAATATCAAAGATGCACAAAGTGTGCTTCCGATCAAGACAGCACAGTAGGTAAACACTGTGCTTACATTCTCCCACAACAAGATTACAACTACAACAGAACACCCATCATTGAGAAACCCCTAAAATCTGGCTAAACAGAAGTACTGTAACTAGGATTATACAGAAGAAGCAATGTGGAGGCTGGTAGGAGGGACGGAGACATGGAAGGGCTTACCCCACTCCCACAGGTAGGTGTTAAAAATCGGGAAAAATATCCCAGCCCCATACCAGGCTCCCCAGCCCAGGTTTCCAGTAGATGAAAGAGAGGTCCCATAACTTTTGGCTGTGGAAACTAGCTGGGATTGTGGCTAAGTGAGACAGAGGGCTGCTGGAGTCAAGGGCATTCCTGTTAAAGAAACTCAACAAATTTACTTGCTGACGGACTCACTCAGAGTAGAGTTCCAGCACTGGGGCAGCAGTCCAAAAAGCATCTGGGGATATATGAGGAGGAAATGAATTGTCTGGTGTCAGAGCAGGGGCTGAAGGAACAACTTTCTCCCAGACAGAAGTGCTGGCAGATGCCATGGTTACTTTCTTGAGCCCTTCTACCACCCAGCTGGCAGGCGCAGGCAGGTGCTCTATCTGAGTCTCTGTCAACCTGGCTTTCACCATTAGCCCCACCCTGGTGATTCTCTGAGACCCAACTTGCAGGCCCACACAAGCCACTTCCAGTGGTTTTTCCATACAAATGGGCAGCCTTGGCTTCTGCTGTAGACTTTCCCAAAATCTCGCAAAGGTTCACAAACCCCAAACAAGTGGCAACTGGCCTTGACAGTAATGACTGGCCTGAACATGCCCCATACCTCTTGCTAAACAGCACCAAGCCAGACATGAGTGACAGCTTAGTCCCTGATTTGCAGCTTAGTCCCTCCCAGGAACCTCCAAGACCAGCCCAAGCAACCACCCTTTGAAAATCAGTTGTAGCCCTGGCTGGTTTGGCTCAGCGGTTAAGAGCGTCGGCCTGTGTACCATAGTCCCGGGTTCAGAGTCTGCTAAGGGCACGTACATAAGTTGCAGTTTGTCCCCGTCCCAGTTGGGTTTGTGTGGGTGGCAACCACTAGATATGTCTCTCTCACATCCATGTTCTATCTGAAGATAAATGCAAAGATGTCCTTGGGTGAGGATAAAAAACAGAACAAAACAAAGGAAAAATAAAGAAAATCAGTTGTAGATCACACAAGGTGGCCCCAGGCTGGACACAGTCAGCAACTAACCACCCATCCACCTCCATAAACAATACACCACAAAAAACACACCCAAAGGTTAGACTTGGCAGGCCCCAAAGCTCCACTAAAGAGAATTCTGGTCCATGGAGTCAGCCCCTGCATGATAGCTCCTCCACTATAGTCACTCAGTGGGAGGCAGCCAATTGCTGTATCTCTTTCATATCAGTATTTCTCTCTCTCTGTCTCCCTTCCTCTCTCCCACTCTATCTAAAAATCAATGGAAAATATCCTCTGATAAGGATTTAAAAAATGGGGGGAAGCAAGAGCAAAGCAGTTATTTATATACAAGGGAGCTCCCATAAAACAGTCAGATGATTTCTCAACAGAAACTTTGAGTCCAAGAGGGATTGACAAAAAATATTCAAAATGATGAAAGGGAAGGACCTAGAACCAAAATTACTTTACCCAACAAAGCTATCATTTAAAATAGAGGACAGATAAAGAGCTTCCTTGACAAGAACAAACTAAAGAAGTTCATCACCATCAAACCAGTATTACAAGAAATGTTAAAGGGACCTCTCTAAGAAGAAGAAGAAAAATAAAGATCACAAATATGAATAATAAAATGGCAATAACTACATACCTATCAATAACTACTTTAAATGTAAATAGATTAAAATCAAATAAAAAAAACACAGGGTGGCTGAATGGATAAGA